TTCGTTTTATTCAAAAAAAAGGTTACGCAATCAGTGACTATTTGCAGTATGCACTAACATTTTGGGGTGCAACCGTAGGGTAATAATCACTCGAGTGGTGGGAGTAAACATCTCGAGATATCTCGAGTGATCTCAATAATCGAGTACCACTCGATTTTTCACTCGAAATCTCCCATCACTATTCCCTGTTCTCTTGTGTTCGTTAATCGTTATTGATTGTGCGTTATTTTTTGTGATTGTGCTTCAGTTAATTATCAGTTTTAGTTTCATTTAAAGTGCACTTAAAAATTACTGTTTATGCTGTAAGCACTTAAAATTTAATGAACTGGTGGAAGTCTCTCGTAACTATAAAATTTGTACTAACAATGGCTAACCTATCAGAATTGTTAATGCAACATGCCGATGTTGTAGATTATCTTTTACAGTATGATTTCAATAATTTTTCGTACGATGAGAAATTATTTATTAAAAATTTAAATAGGCCATGCCCTCCTCTATCTGATTTAATTAATGTTAATAAAAAAGATTTAGCTGGGGGCACTTCTTACAGAGCTTTTAATACACAGTGGTATGAAAAATTTGTATGGCTTACAGGTAGTACTATTAGAAGTAAATTGTTTTGTTGGCATTGTTTATTATTTGGAGAAAAAAACAGCGAACAGAGCCCTTGGAATAGAGTTGGTTATGATGATTTAAAAAATATACATAGATCGGCTCAAAAACATGCTGCATCCAGGGATCACCTGCTTTCTACACTAAAATTAAAATTGTTTGGTAAACAAAATGTTATGGACCCCTTAGGGACAGATAAACAAGAAATTGAAAAACATAATAATTTGGTAAAGAAAAACCGTGAAGTTTTAAAAACATTAATCGATATGACAATTTATTTAGTCACACAGGAATTAGCCTTTAGGGGTTGCGATGAAATGAGTAAATCATTAACTCAAAAGAATTTTAAAGAATTTGTCCTATTTTTGAGTAAATACGATAGCAGATTTAATAGTTTTTTAGACGAGTCATCGGCATTTGGTGATTTGACAGAAATAATACAAAATGATTTAACTAAGAGTATTAATGAAGTAATTGCAGAAGTTATTGAAGAAGAAATTAACCAGTCAGCTTGTTTCTCGTGGCAGGTTGATGATGCCTCAT